GATCTTTGGTTGAATTCCTCCTGCCTGTTATGGATATCTGAATGCTAGCCCTATTACTAACATTAATGTCTTTCAATAATTATGTCCTTGAGATCCTGGCCTTAAAACTTAATCCTATTGGTTATTTATAAAGTTCCTACTCTGTGCCCAGCACCGACCCCATTTTAAAGTGTGTTCCTTTTGGTTTGTCAATAACTGTTGTTGTTTAGTCATTTTGCAATCATTTTTTGATTCTTCATGACCCTGTTTGGAGGTTCTCCTGGCTGAAATACTGGAGTAGTTTGCCATTTCCTTTTCCAGCTTGTTTTACAGATGAGGACACTGAAGCAAACAGGGTGAAGTGACTTGCCCAGGGTCACATAGCTAGTAAATGTCTGAGGCTGGATTTGAACTCAGGTCTTCCTGACTACCACCTAGAGCCTAACTCCCAGGATGGTTGCAAGGATAAAATGAGATATTTGTAAAGCATACTGCAAACCTTAAAATGCTATATAAATACTAGCTAGGCGGTGTAATGGGTAGAGCACTGGGTTTAGAATTAGGAAGACTCATCTTCTTGAGTTCAAATCTGGCCTCAAACACTTCCTAGCTGTGGGACTCTGGGAAAGTCATTTTACCTTGTTTGCCTCAGTTTGCTCATCTGTAAAATGAGCGGGAGAGGGAAATGGCAAACCACTCCAATATGATCACCGAGAGAACCCCAAATGGAGTCACAAAGAGTCAGACACAACTGAACAACAAAAATTAGTGTATATCTACCACTTAATACAATATACTTAGTAACTGCTTAATAAATGCTGGTTGGTACAACTTTCTTGGGCCATCTTAGTGATATTGGCAGATGTGTCAAAGGAAGATAAAGATAAAATTTAAATTGGCACCTTTTGCTTCTTCTTCCCAATTTTAGGAAAGGGCCTGGTGAGGGAAGGAGTTAGCACAAGAGTGGAGCCTTTTGGTGAGTATGAATTAACCTTCACCTTATAGGCTTTTATTGTATGTCCTCCCAGCTCAGGCCCTGTGATTTGACCTGTGGCTATCTGAATTCAAGCTGTCATAATGAGGTTCTCTTGGATTGTGAAAATGAAGTGTTCAAACATTTGCTTCCCATTGTCTGTGCAATCACCGCCCTCAATTATCTTAGGTAATTGGATGTATCATAAAATGCTTCTTAGATATAAATTAAAGAGACCCCACATATATACACCCCCCCTCCAAAACAAAAAATCCTGATTCACAGCAGAGGAAAAAAAAAACGAAAAACTCGATATCACTTTAACATGAAAATAGTCCTTGACATTTTGAAACTTTCAGCCAAGCCTTTGGGTCTATTTGACTTCCAGGCACTTGGCTGCTGGGATTGTGAGGGAGAATGTACTCCAAGGGCAAGAGAATACTTTGTTTCACTGTACGTCATTTACGCAAGGGCACACCACTGATTTGAAAGGAAGCAGAGGCTACATTTTGTCTATGGGGAGAATTTGAAGTTATTCCCCTGCAAATTTAATTCAAACAGGTGTGGAGATCTAAAACATGGAGATAGCCCCAGATTAGAGGCTAATACTTGATTTTTTAAAAAGGAAAGGAAAGGAAAGAAAAGACAGGTCACACTGAACTATTTCAAAGCATCGCTGGCTCATTCTCTTTTAATGTGTTAATCACTGCATTGCTATGAATATACGTTTTAAGACTGGTTCTGTAGAGAAATATTCTTGAGATCGTTATCATTTGAAACGTACAGAACATTGATGTTAGTGATTTAAAAAAAAACCTTAAATTTTAATTAAAATGATTGCTAAGAGTGTGTAGATTTTGAAGAAATGCAATCTAAAATAGTTTTATAAAGATTGCTAAATGAGGGGAAAGTTACATATGTATGCTTTTAAGAAACATTTTATATCACATAACTGCTATAAGACATCCAGGTAATGCGTTAAAATGGCATTTCAAAAACCACCTAAAGATGGTTACTTAAGAAACATGCTGCTATCTTGGAACAGAACCCTCTGAAAATGAAAACAATAATTTATGAATATTCCCTACTGGGAAATCAGAACCAAAACTGGAGTTTGTTTACTTTTCTAAATAATTGAAGTTAAATATCTCCTTGGCTGGTAGAGCTGATTATGACCTTCAGAGTATTTACTTTTTAAAAAATGTACAATCACCCTAATCAAAATCATACTGAGGAAATTAAATTTTGTTACTCAGCCATGTTGAAGCCCTAATTTTTAAAAATGTAATTCCCTATTTATAATATATAAGGGAGTGCTCATATGTTCAGAGGCTCCATTTTTTGGGAGAAACTGGTTATCACTTCTTGCAGTATGCCCTATAAAATTAGTCCAGAGGTTTTCTACAGCTTAATCAACAAAGTGATGTCTTATCCAGCTGGAAGGTGTTGTAGCTCGACATAGCCATATATCAAAGAGCAAAATAAAGCTACAAGAAAACATTTACCCATCCAAAGTTAATGGAAATTCTAAGTCACATTGGACCAAACCTAGGATCACAACTCAGTTGGCGCATGGTATACAGTTACATAGTTTGTAGCTTTGAAGGCCAAGGCCGTACTAACTATAATGAGAAATTCTGCAGTGTATCTACAAATGCTATGCCATTGGTTTTAATTGATTGCACATTCGTGGCAGAAAGGCTGGCCTATAGCCAATTACATTGGCTAGAAGAAAAATAAAAAGTAGAGCAGCAATGGTTAAGAGAAAATCTTTTGGTAGACAAGCATATATTCAGCCTGTGGCACATTGTGTCAGTGGAACTGATCCGAAATCACACTTAAGTAGTAACACAGCTTGTGTTCAGTTATTATTTTAAGTAGTTGCCCATCATTCACTCCTCCGTAGCTAAATGCCAGAATCTTTCAGAAGAGTGCAGAAGTATGTGAGGGGTCTACCATTGCTCACTGGAGACAAAAGGAGCAGTACATAAACTCTGATGAGTGGTTGCCATAGAACTAACTGAAAGATCTGCTTTAGCCCCTGCCTATCCATCTTACAGTGGCTGATGTGGGGAAGCACTCTCTAAAATTAAGAATATGACCTTAGGGGGCTGCAAAATGGAAGTGTATTAAATATGTGTTTTTATTTTAAAAGTATCAGAAGGTTCTCTTTACTGCACTCTCACCCCAATAGCTAAGTCACAGGAGCTGGGGGAGGAGAGGAGAAATGACTCCTACTGACAGTTGTTATTATTAATAATAAGAGAACAAGTTAAATCATATAAAAAATAAGGATTGTCAGGGGAACACCAACATGGCCCTATAGCCACTGTGAAATCATTACCAATGGCTCTATGGTCTTTGAGGCACCGTGGATTGGCAATCAATATAAAAGTACCTAATTTTTTTTTTTTTTACTTTCAGTATTAAATGAGTTGAACTCCAATAACGGAACTGGGTGGTGATTTTAAAAGACCTTCTACAAGTATTTAAACCCAACTAATAAAACCCTTCTGCATCAAGCTATCAAACTATCCTTACCACTCAGGCTAAGTAGCATCCTAACATTTATTCCTCATGTAAAATCCAGTGCAACTTTTCAGAAATAAATAAGTCAGGGTTTCAAAGCAGATTTTTGGAAACTGCCTCCTGGAATTACCTATTTGGGGGAATTTGTCATTGTTTAGAGTTGTTGATTTTTCCATGTCTTTACAGAAGGACTTTTCAAAGAGCTACTTTATTTACTTAGAGCAATTTAACAAGGATGGGGGAGAAGTATATGTAAATTACAATACAAATGCTACCTAAAATTTTAGGCTATAAATATTTGTTTTTCCCAATGGGGAAAATATTTTCAATTTCCCTAAAGGCTGAATAACAAAAACAGTTGTTTCAATTTCTTTATAACCAAAACATAATTGTAATATATAGATGTTCATTTTAACCCATTGTGATTGATCAAAAACATCACAATGTAAATATGTCACAAAAGAAGTACTGAATCTATAGAGTAACAGGTTTTTTTCTTTCTTCTTTCAAACAAAGCTATTATAGTTTTTAAAACTTCTGTTTTTCTGTTTATAGTTTAGATGATAAATCTGTTCTTATGTCCATATTATAAAGTGTTCAGTAACCTCTGTATGTATACATTAAACTAAAAAAAGGCTTAAAAACTCTTTGAGTCAATCACATAAATAATTCTGTGGGAGACTGCAATAAAGATTCCTTGGAAGAGATAAATTTGGGAGCTTCAAAAGCTTTCCATCTAATTTTTTTTAAAAAAACTTATAAATCTAATTGTAGTATAAAATGTTTAAAACTACATTTCCTTGATGGTTTCTGAATATTCAGAACTGGAGAGAGAAGTTAATCTCATAAATATGACAAAGGAAATTGATGAAACATAAACAAAATTGCTTAAAAAAAGTCGTGTAAATCTCTTCATAGTGGGGCTTTTTTTCAGTAATGAAATCATAAACTCTGTGGACAACATCCTTACAAACTTCTATTTTCCTCTTTTTATAAAAACAGCTCTTTTCTTGGGTTCAATGATATCCACCACAACGGAGATCCTGAATATGATGACCATAGTTCTTTGGACAGACAGATTTATTTAACCCAGCCTAAATGTTGAAGTAGCAAACCTGTTTCATGAATCCCTGTGCTGAATTCCTCATACAGTGGAACTGGCTTATGAGACCCTTATGAAATGTAAAGACAGCAGACAGTACAAGCTCTATTCCTGTGAGGCACAAAGACCATAGCATTTTATACAAAACCTCAATTTTTTATTTGAGAAATTAAAAATATGGTATTTGATATATATATAAACTTCTATTCCTCTATAAATATAGATGATTTTGTGATAGTGAACAGAATAAATGCATACCAAATTTTTTAAAAAGAAAGAACCTTTGCATTTTAGGGTTATGACAGCCACAGATTAATTTAGGATCTTAAGTACAGGCTTTATGACATACTCTGAAAGTTTAAAACAATGCTATTGGGACAGCTGCATTTCTTCTCCTTTCCTTCCACACAAACTCACAAAAAATATGACTTGATTGTATTTTTTTTTTTGCATGTACCCATCTGTGGGGAAGGAGAAACACACATGATTTTAAGGTGGCAGAACCTGGGCCCTTTTTCTCCCATCGTATGCAATATTATTTTGTTGAGGGAATAAATCCATCAATCACTTATACTCCTCAGCCTCCAGAATCTTCTCAGGTTAATCATCAGAAGAACAGACTGTCTCTCCTCCCTCCCCCTACCAAGACTCCTCAGTCTTAATTTCTTAATAACAAGAATGGGTTAACAATGTACAGCATTTTGCTTGTTTGCTTAAAGAGTCCTGCATTATAAGACTAATTATCAATTGGTTTGCAAATTGATTTCAAAAAGTGACTACAGCAATACATAGTGAGAAAGCCCATTTTCTCAGACCCCTTAAGTTTTATATTTTGTTGTCCTGATAATGACAATAAATATCAATTTTCCAATAAAGATTTCCAGGTGATCTCAACTGTTTTGTTTACAAAAGAGTAAAATATAAACACTTAAGCTGTCTCAATTCAGGAGGCAGACTGCCAAGAATGAGTCTACAATTGAAATTAACATTTTCAAACCACCATTTTCAGTCTCTTCCAACCCACACAAAGTGTGATGCCTCTTCTGAAAGCTCAGTCACCACATTTTTTTCCATGAGGTTGGCCAAATCTATTTCAGATTTTATACACTCAGGAAAAAAAAAAATGAGTTCATCCATGAAAAAGTAGACTGGAAAACAAGCTTGGAATTTACATCCTACTCACCCTCAAACCAGGTTAAGTGCCTGGGAATGAGAGGTGGGTTGTGGTGGAAGGCTGAAGATTGTCAGCACCCACATGTGCCAGGTCCTTGGCGAGCTTTGAGCACAGTTCACATAGAAAATTCAGGTTTATAAAGTAAAAAGACAAGGCTTCAGAATCTGCCCCCAGGGGAGGGTGGAATTGGGCCTGGCAGGGCTCCCAGCTTAAGGTTTGGAAGGCTGGAAGAGATCTGAGTTCCCCCACCCCACTTCAGAAAGGGGGAGAGGGGTCAGAGGGAAAGGAGGGGAGAATTGTCAGACATGGTAACAAAATCAAGACTTCTCTGCTCAACCCTGAGCAGATGGCTCTGAAAAAACCTGTGTGAAAGAGGGAATTGGTTTTTCCCCCTTTTCTTTTTGGAATACTTGGAGGAAAAAAAAAAACAACACCCGAGAAAGAAAATCTGGGAATGGTTAAAAATCCCTAAATAATTAAAAATGTGATTTTCCATCATTTAAATACAAATATACTTACAAAAATCTTACACAGGCTATTTACAATCATAAAACCATAAAGTCTTGGTACCAGAGAGTGAGGTGTCCATCAGTACATCCCAAATCTCTCCTAGCAGTCAAGTCCCCTTGTTTGCTTGCTTCCAGGGATGGTTCTAGAGATCTGAAGGTGGTTTTTGTTGGTTGGTTGGTTTGTTTGTTTGTTTTTTTAAAATGTGTGTGAGAGGAAGCATAGCTGGAAAGAGCCAGAGTCAAACAAGAGGAATGAATCCTATGGAGCCTAGCCACCTTTTCAGGGTTGGGAAAGTAGAGGAAACTGGAAATGGCTTTTTGTTGGAGTTGTGTGCCTGTGGGATGGAGGTTTCTCTCTCAGACCGTGGTTTCCCCCTGTTTGCTGTTGGTAAGTCTGGTATAGAACTTTCTCCAAGAGTTGAGGGTCTTGCCCGACCAGATCCAGAACCCAGAGGTGATACCCACAATCAATGTCATGAGGTACTTGATCATGAAGACTGTGAAGTCAGGGGTCATGGGTGGGTGGGGAGGGGCCCCCCCACCGCCCTGGTGGTGAGGGCAAGGGATGGCATAGCTCTTGCAGCTCTGGGCCACCCAGCTTCGCTCCCACTGTTCTCTGAAGGCTTGCTCGTAAAAGTAGCAGGCAATGACGATGGTGGCAGGCACGGTGTAGAGGACGCTGAAGACTCCTATACGGACCATGAGTTTCTCCAGTTTCTCGGTCTTGGTGCCATCATGCTTCATGATGGTGCGGATGCGGAAGAGGGACACGAAGCCGGCCAGGAGAAAGGAGGTGCCAATGAAGAGATAAACAAAGAGGGGCGCCAGCACGAAGCCCCTCAGGGCATCCACGTTGTTCAGCCCAACAAAGCACACCCCACTGAGGATATCTCCATCCACCTGCCCCAGCGCCAGGATGGTGATCGTCTTGATGGCTGGCACCGCCCAGGCCGCCAGGTGGAAGTACTGCGAGTTGGCCTCGATGGCCTCGTGGCCCCACTTCATCCCCGCTGCCAGGAACCAGGTGAGGGACAGGATCACCCACCATATGGAGCTGGCCATGCTGAAGAAATAGAGCATCATGAAGAGGATGGTGCAGCCCTCCTTCTTGGTGCCCTGGGCCACCGTGCGGGCCCCATCCTCCGCAAACTTTTCATTGCAGACCACCCGATCCTCCAGCAAGAAGCCGGCGATGTAGGCCACGGCCACGGCCGTGTAGCAGCCCGAGAGGAAGATGATGGGCCGCTCCGGGTAGCTGAACCTCCGCATGTCCACCAGGTACGTGAGCACCGTGAAGAGCGTGGAGGCGCAGCAGAGCACGGACCAGATGCCGATCCAGGTGCGCGAGAAGCGCAGCTCCTCCGGCCCGAAGTACATGAGTCCGTACACCTTGGTGGGCTCGCAAGGGGCGCCACAGTCCTTCTCCCCCAGGAAGTGGTAGTTGAGGTAGGAGGGCACCTTCAGCGCCCGCGGGCAGGAGAACTTGCCCCGCTCCGGGGACGCGGCGCCCCCGGCGCCCCCGCCGCGGCCCCCGGCGCCGCCTCCGCCCCCGTGCTGGGGGTTGCTGGTCCAGAACTCGGGGAGCAGCGAGGGCGTCGGGGTGCCCTTGTCCGACGTGTTCTGGCCCACGCAGAGCTCGCCGGCGCCGTGCACCGGGAACTTCTCGCAGCGGAGCGTGTCGGGCCACTGGAAGCCGAACTTGTTCATGAGCGCCTCGCAGCCCTGGCGGGCCCGCTCGCACAGCGAGCGGCAGGGCGGCAGCGCCTGCTCCAGGACGGTGCACACGGGCGCGTACATGGAGCACAGGAAGAACTTGAGCTCGGCCGAGCACTGCACCTTCACCAGCGGGTAGAACTGGTGCACCTCGAGCCCGGCGTCCTCCTGGTTCGTGTGGCCCAGCAGGTTGGGCATGATGGTCTGGTTGTAGGCGATGTCGGTGCACAGCGGGATGGAGATGGGCTGGCAGTAGCCGTGGTCCGGGATGGAGATGCCGCGCTCGCCGTGGTACTGCTGCTGCTGCTGCTGCTGCCCGGCCGCCTGCGGCTGCGGCGGGGGAGGCGGCGGCGGCGGCTGCCCGGGGCCCGGCCCCTGCCCCTGCCCCTGCCCCTGCCCTTGCCCGGCCGCCTGCGCGCGGACCCCCGACGGCAGCGACGGCGGCGGCAGCAGCAGCAGCAGCAGCAGCAGCAGCGGCGGCAGCAGCCTCTGGAGAGCCGCGCAAAGTTGCCGGCGCCGGCCGCCGGCCGCCGCCGCCGCCCTGGGCGCCCCCCGCTCAGCCATACTTTCTCGGCCCCGTCCCGGGCGCCGCTCCGCCCGAGCTGCTGCCGGCTCCCCGCCGGCGGCCGCTGCCCTCGTCGTCCCGCGCTCGCTCCGCGTCCCGCAGCCGGCGCCGCCGCCGCGGAAACTGGCGATTCATGAAGCGCCGGCGGGGGGCGAGCCGGGGAGAGCCCCGAGTGCCGGCTGGTCCGGCGGGCGCTGCCGCTCGGCGGGCGGCGCAGCTCCGGCGTCCCGGGCCCCGGCGAGAGCGCACCTCTGCCTCCGCCTCCGCCTCCGCCTCCGCCGCCGCCGCCTGACCATTTGTGTCAATCCCTCAACTGGGCTCCCTCTCCCTCTCCCCGACCGGTTTCCAGGCGCCCCGGAGTCTGTCTTTCACTCGGAGGGAGGAGCCTTGAAACCGACGCGGAGCTTGTGGGCTAAGGGACCGTCACCCAATCACCGTAACCGCTTCCCGGCGAAAAGGAGCTGGCCACTGTCTACTCGCACGAAGCGGTGGGGGCTGGGGGCAGGAGTGGGGGTCGGGGAGAGTTGGTGCGGTGAAGAGCCGAGCTCGGGCACAAAGAGTGAGCTTTGCTCTGCGGCGGGACAGGCTCGATTGCTTTTGCTTTAGCCGGAGAAAGAGCCAGGACACGCAGGAGAATGGTCCCATATGTTGTTGGGAAGAATGAATAGGAGTTGGCAGACCGCGAGACTCTCCTTTTCTTCCCTTTTCTTCATTTTCATGTTTAAAAATTCTGCTCTCCACGGCGGTTACAACGTAGCAAATGGGGAACGGCCCTCAAAATAGCTGCTTCTGAATGAAGGGGCTCGTCGCTTTGAGCTTGTGTCTGTCAAAGTTTGCAGTGAATCGAATTCTCGGGCCATTCTTTGCACTTGGGAGCCTGGCTTGGCAGGCCTTACGTGGCTGTTCTGCGTGCAGTGCCTCGTTTTTGGTGAACCAGAAGGGAAAGTTCTCTCTGGGTTCTGATTATCTGAGCAGCAACAAACACAAACCCCCCCCCTTTTTTTTTTTGGACGCAAATCAAGAAGTCCATGGCTCCTACTTCCCCCCTCCTTTCATTAAGCCAGAAACAGAAGCTACGAAAATTGTCCCTTAATTCTTTAGGGCAGAGGTTCTTAACCTGGGGTCTTTGAAGGTTGTTTTGTTTTGTTTTTAATTTTGATACCTGTATTTCATTATAATTGGTTTCTTTTGTGATCCTATGTATTTAAAAACATCATTCTGAGAAAGGGTTCGTAGACATTAGCAGACTGCCAAAGGGATCCAGGGCACAGAAAAGGTTAAGAACCCCTGCTTTAGAGGAATTGAAGAATTCGATATCTGACTGAAGCCTCTTGAAATTGGGGCGGTCTTTTCTTGAAGACCTCCGAGACTGCCAGGATCGGGAGTGGCAGTCGTTTATATCAAGAAGCCAGTCGTGCCCAGCATTGGACTGCCCTGGCCTGTGAAGAACTGAAATGTTTTGAGGCTCCACGGGTTCCCAGAAATAGAGAAAAATAACAATATGCTGGCCTAGGCAACATTTGTGAAAATACCGCAGACTCTGGAGACAACCTAGGAGGAATTTGGGTTTTTTTGACCACGGACTTGTTTTGAGACTGTACTGTGAACAGCTTCCAGTCACCTTGAAATCTTTCTAAAAAGGGAGTGGAATGGAATTATAAAGTCCTCCACTGATTATGAAATGAAATAGTATATTTATGCTAGACTATTTTGATTTTTTGATCCAGATGGTTATTTCATCAGTACAAAGAACTTCCATTGTGGAAACTCCCTTCACCAATGCAGATCAAGTAACTCACCTGAAAGTTAGAGGCTTTGAGAGTTGCCCGCATGACCGAGACAGTGAGTGATTTGGCCAGGGCTTACACAGTTAGTATGCTAGAACACCCGTTTCTCTGACTCCAAAGCTGCTATGTCAGGCTACCTCTTGCCAGACCTACATACCTGTGGGGTTTTGATCTCCTGTGTAAATTTTTTTGTGATATTTTAACCAAGTGGCACAACCATGTAAATTCACCCCATTACCTTATAATTTTAGGAAATAAAAGACTGAAATCTTTTTGCCAAGTTCTGTCAGTCTGCTGTCTCCTTATCTACAGCCATCTTTCAGTAACTATTTTCTAAAGTCTCCAGTTAGTAATCCTGCTACTATTATTTCCAGTTCTATAGTGTTCATTTCCTTCTTGCAAAAAAAAAAAATTCTTCTTGTCAGGACAATGTCTTTAAAGAAAAGGCCCATCCATCTGGGCCTTTACATGAAATTATGTCTATCCATAACCACCAGGGACCAAAGGAGTTGAGTCAATGAAGTCTTTGGGATCTCTTGGTATCTTCTTTATGCCCTCTCCTCCCTTCTAGCTTCTATATTGTTTAAGGCCCCAACCGGGACTTTGTCCATGTCGATAGTCATCACAGTATAATGCTAGACAGTCTCTTTTAGGATCTGTATGACCGTGGACAAGTCACTAACCTCTTAAAGCAGGTACCAACCTCACTTGGGAGTTCCCTATTCCAATAAAATTGCAGATCTAGGCCTTTTCCTCCATGTTGTAGACCCTCTGGCCCAGAAAAAAAAAATTTTCTGGTTTTGAATCTCAGCTACCATACTTACCAGCCATGTGGCTATGGGGAAATCATTCTACGTCATAGAACCTCAGTTTTCCCATTTGTAAAATGGAGATGATGATACTTTTACAGTCATGTTGTGATGGAAGATGATGTAAGGAAAGCATTTTATAAACCATAAAGTGTGATCAAAACGTGAGATATCATCATCGGTATAGTCATTATTAATCGTATTATTATTTTCTACTCCAAAACAAAATTTACTTTGTTCTTTATTCTAAATTCCTCAAAGCTCTGCTAAATGGTTCACTAATGTTAATCTATGCCAAAATCAATCATCAACATAGATTAATAATCATCGATTAATTTCTAATAACTGATAGTGGCTTAATGTTAGTTTCCTTTTAACAGGGCTCCCAAAGGAGTGAGTAATCTGGGGATTTCCACCAAGCTGTTTAAGGGCCATGACCAGTGTTTGGGGTGGGAGAATGCCCTACCCTTCAAGCAATGTGGGAGGGGTGGCCTATGAGAGCTGGTTAGCTGGTGTTGCAGCCAAATTCTCTCCTGTGCTGCTAAGACACAATTTTTCCATATGTACCTCTGCTTTTCAGGTGCAAGAATTCCCAACCTCCCCAAATTTCTCTCTAAATCAGGTGTAGATGTTTTGAAGAGAAGCTGTGAATTCTGGGATTCTTGTGCCTCCAAAGTAGGGTTACAAACGATTTCATGAGAGGTGAGACCATTGCTAATATCCCAATTTCCTCATCTGTAAAATGCATGAATTGGACCACCTGGCCTATAAGGTCTTTTCCAGTTCTCAATCTATGATCCTCCAAGTCTCTGTGTTACAGCTTAGTGTGTTCCCCACCTGCCTCATGCCTCCAAATTGGGCTACACCACAGCATGCTTCCTGCAGCAAAGTACAGATCCCTTCTCCTGCTGGTCCTCTACACAAGTGAACAATTGCATATTTCTTTACTCCCCTTCTCACCCTCCACGTCAATAGTGAAAAGTTTGGAGGGCTAGGGCATGAAGCATAGATAAAGAGCCAATCATGGCACTGTAGATCCTTGTTCCACTTAACATTTTATTAGTAATTTGGCACATTCATCAAATTTGTGGATAATATAAACTTGGGAGGGATAGCTTAAACATTGGATCCTCAACGTTTGATTGAATCAACATCCAAAAATATCTTAACAGTCCAGAGCATTGGGTTGAATCTAAGAAAATTAAATTCATTAGAGATAAATGTAAAGTCTTGTAGTTGGGTACAAGAAATCAACTTTATAAGTATAAGGTGGCAAAGACATGAAGTTTTAGTGGATTGCAAGCTTGTTATGAGTCAGCAGTGTGATGTACTAGCCCAAAAGATGAATGGGTTCTTGGACTGCATTAAGAGAGGAATAGTAAGAAGTAAGGAGGTGATAACCCCACTGCACTCTGCCCTCATCAGATCTTATCTGGAATATTCTGTTCAGTCCTGGGTACCCCAGTTTAAGACAGTGATGAGCTGGAAAGCATCCAGAGGAAAGACAGCCAGAATGGTGAAGGGCCTTGGGTTCATATCATCTGAGGATCATATGAGGGAACTAGGGATGTTCACCTTGGAGAAGAGAAGACTGGGGGAATATAATAGTTGCCTTCAGGTATTTTAAGGGTTGACATGTCAAGGAAAAGTTATACTTCTTTTGTTTCATCCCTGGAAGACAACACCAGAAGCAAAGGATGGAAATGATAAAGAAGCAATTTTGTCGGGAAAGACTTCCCCAAAATTGGAGCTGTCCAAAAGGGTAATGGAGCGCCTTGGGAGGATTCCTCCTCCACTGAGCTCTGCAAGCAGAGGCTGGATAACCATTCATTGGGTAGGTTGCAGTGGGGAGCCCTTTTGGGTAAGGGTTAGACTAAAGAGTGTCTGAGGTCCCTTCCAACTCTCAGATTCTATGATTTTGTGAAATGAAAACTATGGCACAGTTATTATAACCAATAGTAACCTCAATGTTAAGGGAGAGATTGAGGAGGAAGAGAAGAGGAAAAGAGAGGAGAGGAGAAGAAAGAAGAGAGGGGGGGAGTGGAGAGGAGAGAGAGGAGGGGAGGGGAGAGGAGAGGAGAGAAGGGGAAAGAACAGAGAAGGGCAAGGGAAGTAGGAGAAGGGAAAGGAATGTAAGAGGAAGTTTCCTTTTTTAATAATGTCCCCTTTTTAATTCTGATGAAATTACTTTCTAAGGCTATTATGATGTTTGAGATTCTCAGATGAAGATGAGTAAATAAGAACAAACTATTATTTAACCATGTAATAAAATATTTACATTAAAGTGACTTGCATAATATTATTCTCCTATGGGCTTGATTGCATCATGGCATTCATCATCTTAGTCATGTTCTCTTATTTCAGGTACCTTGTTTTACCAGACCTCTCCCAAATCCCCCAAAC